AAATGCAGATGCGTTGTTACCACTGAGGACTAATATGATCTCGTTTTAAAAAGAGCACCTCTCACGCATTTCACGAAACACAACACCATTAAGCTATTTTACGCTTGTATTCTTAGAGCGTGGTCCTTCCACGGTCGAACCGACCCATTCATGATACAAACATTATATAGCTGCAGCGTGGCTCTACCACGTATAATGGGCTTGTTTTTTTTAAATTTGAACTTTATTTACAAAATAAGAATTAAAAAGACACGTAGTTTTTTGCCTTTTGTTTTCCGATCGGAGGAACCTCATTTCGAAACCCGAAGAAACGAACGAGAGACGGATATATATAGATATAAAACACGATTGAAATACGACACTTTAATAAAATAATAGTTTATTTTATTAAATCACACAAAAAAGACATTTCGTTTCGATTTACTTGGCTCTTATGCACAACTAACTACTTTTATATTATTTTACGTATGCTGTGCACGGATACAGTTCAGTCGACCAATCATAACTCTTAATAACCGAAGTAATAGTAGATCGCTCGTACATTATGAAGCTGCTATAAAACCGAGGTCTAACCTGTAGTGTCCTAGTTTTACAATAAGGCTTAAATTGTTAACCGACCGAGTATCGCTTGAAACAGTATCGTAGGGGATCACTTTGAAATCAATAGGTAGGAAGTGGAAAGCAAATAAATCTAATTCTTGGAGTATTATAGCGGGCTGAGGGTTTTTAAGTTGCCGTTAAGGTGATACCTCGAAAATTTGGTGGTTTTTATATTTAACATATTTTTTTAAGTTTTATAGATTACAAACCAAAATTTTGGTATATGATTTTTAACTATATAACCTTGGATTGCATAAAAGGAAAACACGATATCATGAAATTTCCACAATAGAAAAAAATTGCAAAGTAGGCTCTAATTATTTTCATTTCTCGATGACACCACAATATTCTTACGAATAATTTCGTGGAATTATTTTTAAAGCATAGTAAATAATCATATCTAAGTTCTCATAAACCAGTTTTTTAATAACGAAGTTTTGTTCAAATTAACAAAAATGTTGTTTGGCGCTTACTTAGTTTTTTTCCGAGCGCATGCTAGGTATGGCTATCTCATAATTTGCGTACTATGAAGCCATTGCATCACTTTCATTTTGACACTCCTGCAGTCGTCCGTTAGCTTCACCGACAAAGGAATAAGCCACGCCCCCAAAGCTTCGATTCATTTTCAAGGTATCCTCTTAACGTTACCGTTACAGTCTATGAAAGTCTACTGCTGAATATAGGCCTCCCCCATAGATTGCTTCATAGAGGATATATTTGCCAGTGGCCAAGCTTGGCAAGCGTGTTTGCAACCGCGGTTTTTAGGGTTCCGTAGTCAAATAGGAACCCTTATAGTTTCGCCATGTCTGTCTGTCCGTCTGTCCGTCCTCGCTTAATCTCTGTGACCGTTAGCACTAGAAAGCTGAAATTTGGTACCAATATGTGTATCAATCACGCCGACAAAGTGGTAAAATAAAAATTGGAAAAAAAATTTTTATTAGGGTAGCCCCCCTATATGTAAAGTGGGAAGTGATTTTTTTTTTTAATTTTAATCCTAACGTGTGATATATTGTTGGAAAGATATTTAAAAATGAATAGGGGTTTACTAAAATCATTTTTTGATAATGTCTATAATTTCGGAAATAATCGCTCCAAAAGTAAAAAACAATGTGTCCCCCCCCCCTCTAACTTTTGAACTTTAAGTTTAGAAAATATGAAAAAAATCTGAAAAGTAGAACTTTATAAGGACTTTCTAGGAAAATCATTTTGAACTTGGATGGAAACACCCACCCACTACCTGGAGCAGTTGCGCGCTGGAGCGCGAACATAATGGATACCCACCTTTAAACTCATAAGTGGGAACACTTATTGTGACGGACGGAAAACTACGGAACCCTACACTGAGCGTGGCCAGACACGATCTTGGCCGGTTTTTTTAATTTTTAGACAAAAAACATTGCTGCCCATCTCCTGATTTGTTTCCCTCTGCCGCTTCTTACGACAACCACGGGATGATATGTGGTTGTGGATATTCCTACACCGCACTACACGGTAATTTAAGGGACAAACGAAAGTAGTAGGGATTCGCGACTTAATAGAGACAAAATCGAATCCAAATCAAAATTCAAAATAATATAGAAACCATATTTGTCCTTACGAGCATTATTATTTATTATACGCACCAAACGGTTGTAATTTATAATCATGATATAAATAAGTTTTCTTAAGTGAACTATTTCGTTCAGTTTTACCCTTACTGTCACGTGGAGCAAAGAGGTGTCATGGAGTAATGAAGTCAGCAAAGAGGCGTTGAATGCTGGTGTAGGAATTTTGTCTGATATGGTACAGACGAAACCGATGGATGAAAAACCGTCTTAAAGAAGCGACTTCTAACTTAAAAAGGAAAGATGATGATAAATTATACCGAGTCATGAAAGGTTCAGGATATAAAAGTAAAAGACAAATACAAAATATCAGTTAGGCCACAACATTAAAAACTGAGAGCATTGAAAAAAGGCACGACAAATAGTTAAATAAATAATTTAAAATATCATTCTTACATACCTAATCATTCTTGTGAATGTATCGTGTAAGAATTAGATTTATTTGCATTACCGGCAACTCAAATAGAACTAGAATAGTCAATTGATTAACTACAAAACCAATTTCATCTCTTAGCGACGATGGACTAATAGAATTTTTAAATCTCTGAAAGTGACGATGACTACATAGATTTGTCGCACACCTTGATATAAAAGCAAAATTTCTAAAATTGAAATTAACACCTTTGTTATCTATTACAACTGTGGCTCCTGTTAATAATTGGCTTCACTTCACTATTCAGTTAACAATATTTAGTGTTTATTTAAGTTAAAAACTTGTTTCTATTCCAAATAATACTGTAATGAATGAATAACGCCCCACCAGCAAAACAATGGCATCTCACTTGTGGACTCTGGTATGAAGATACAGGAGAAAAATTAAATTCAACTGATGATTATATTAAAGGATAGATGAAAAGACAAAGTCTTGTTAAGGAAATTAAGAAAGTAGACAAGATAGGTCATTGAGGACATGGAGGTATATTTAACTAAGAGAAACTTTTAATAAATGGTTTTGAAAAGTCTCGAACCCCTACTACTAACGAATTAACAGCCCACCTTATGGTAATTGGCTATTGCCATCCATGGACATCTGCAACTTCAACTAAAGAGGGCTGCAGATTGCACATGCGTGTCTAAAGAATGATAGAATACGTCACACTACTGATACACGGCACATAATGATGTTGATTAATATAGTAACAGAAATTAGTAAGTAAAAGAATTTCGGGATCTATTTGCATATATCATTTATCAACTTTACTTGGTATGTAATCTAGTAACTGTTCGTCAATTGTTTATTCTTTACATCATATTAAAACAGCATACCGAACTTCCATTTAACTTAAATCCATAGACAGGAGAAGAATGGACTTAGTTTGTGTAAACTCTCAAATCAAACACGCATTTGTGAACAGATTTTAAATATTTTTAGAATCATTTCTATGTAACAAGCTCAACAAGTCACTAAAGATATTAAATAATAAGATTATATAACAAGATATATATAATCTTATTATTTAATATCTATATATAGATATTAATAAGATAAGAAATGAAATATTAAGATTAAAGCAAGGGAATTTCTGAATAAATTAAATTACGGTAATTTTTTAGAAATCACACAGAGAAGTTGTTAGAAATTCTAAAATTAATTAGTTATTTTAATTTTTTATATAATATAGTCTAATTAGTTACATTATCTAGTGTCCTTCATAATTAAACCCATAGTGTAAGTGATGGTCTGAAATAGAGGTACGCAACCTAGCTAATATTATAAATTTGACTTTTCAATTTTTCTTTTGTAGATTCTACATTATTAAGCTACACAGAGTTTTAATTTTTATTATTGCATCTTATTTTTATCAAACTTATTTTTTTTAACTTAGTTACTTTATTTAACTGTAATCATATTTGTTCCTGTATGTAAACATGTGTAATTGGAAATGAATTAAAAATTATTTATTATTATTATACAAATTTTTAAAATCAAGACGGGAGAAAATACCATAGCGTAAAATAGCGTTAAAAGTCACAAATTTATTTTAACAGTGCAGGCGGTACCTCCCTAGTATAGCACCTCCCCTCTAATAGGGAGGCGAATTGACGATCGCATTAAGAGACATCTCACTTAAACTAATTCCTTTCACCGGTCTTAAGATTTTGTATCTGTTTTAAATCCAAGAAAGTTTTATCTATACATATGATGTTCTCCTAGTCGATTTCCAGACCAACCAACAATTCGAGTTTTTAAATAAGTGTTAGCTCCGACTGAAGTCGTTACCTACGAACTGTAGCGTATAAGTAATACCGGAATTCTAAAATGAAGACCGTTAATAACTAAGTTATCGGCAACTTTTATCAGCGGGAAACGCCCTTATATTCATAGCGCAGGAAACGATAATTATGAATATAAACATACTGTTTATTCATTAAAACATATTTTATATTGGTTAAGTTTTAACAGTTGACAGAAAAATTGTCTACTTGAAATTCTTGCTCTTGTGATTTGTTGAAATGATGATAAGCTTTTTTTTTTACTTTCAGAAATCGTTTTGTAAGGGCCAATTTTGAATAAAAATATTTTTATAGAATAGGGTGACAAACGAGCACACAGTCCACCTGATGGTAAGTGGATGTTGAAGTCCATAGACATCTACATCTATTCTCGATCTATCTCTGTATACTGATCGTGTTTATATAAATTTGCGTTGTTAGCGCCCAGCTTTACTTCCTCATCGTAAGATCGATCCATCTTGTCAACATTTGTTTTGCTGGCGTATAGCGTTATCCATTTAAACAAAACCTCGTGTTTATTTTGATTTTTTTTTAGTTTTACCTTTTTATACATAGAATTACCTGCGGCGAGATAAACTCCTGACAGCAGACTGCCGACCCACGCTACCGTGCCTTTCCCCTCGCCGAAGTACGTAACGAGCTCGGGAAGGAATATTCCAAAGGTATATGCGATGCCGTCCACAACCAGATTGCACATGAAGGAAGCGAATACGACCACCCAGCCGTAGCCCCCATCGGGTGGCGGAGGCAATTCCCCATAGTCGTAGGCCTCATCATCGTCAGCATCACCGGCGCCTTCCGCAGTCAGTCTCGCCGCTTCTTCGCAAGATGTCTCGCTTTCAGTCTGTAACAAACAAAATGAAATGTTTATATTATCAAATTTTTAAATTAATTTAATTAAAATTAAAAAAAAATTAAATTTTTATTTTAATAATAATGAAGATAAACCAAATTCTTATATATAAACTTTTAATAGATGCCCTGTGAGCCCAGGACTGTTCTTATAATGACAGGGACGTTACGACGGTACGCCGGCGCCCTACAAATTGAACTAACTACCTAAGTAAAGTAAAGTTACAGCCTATATACTTCCCACTGCTGGGCACAGGCCTCCTCTCATTTCTGAGGGGGTTTTAGGGCAAGGAACAGTCTGCCGCGCTGCCCCAATACGTGTTGGCGAACTTCACATGTCTTCGAAAATATTTTTTTTCTTATTTCTCAGACATGCAGGTTTCCTCACGATGTTTTCCTTTACCGACGAGCACGTGGTAAATTAGCACGTAAAATTGCAATTAACAATTTCATCGATCGATCGAACCCGGTTTGCTCGCGTATTGTGAAATTTACAGCGAGCGCTAACCATCTGATCTACCACGGCTCTAACTACTACACGGAACTAACTACCTGCTTCTCATAATATCGTGTTTGGTTTGTTTGTTATGTGAAGTTGAAGTAACCGTCCCATTCCTTTACTTCAAGTCATTCTAACAATATTTGATACTGTTAACTTTTAATCAAAATTGCTGCTGCGTTGGTAACTCGAAATTCTAAGTTCACACAATAACTAAAAATGTAAATAGGTGTAAGTATAGATTTAAAGGTAAAGGGTAAGAACATTCACTACCGCATATTGTTTCGTGGGTGTCACAGGGGGGCGATAAAGGGAAAAATCAGGAGATGAACAGCAACATCATCCTAATAACAGCTATATAATAACGCCGCTATCAACCCACCTGCCGGACATGGCAACTATGGCAAATATCCTATGAGGCAATCTATGGGGAATCCCACGTTCAGCAGTGGACTTAAGATAGGCTGTAATAGTAATATGGGATATCAAAGATGGGACAGGACTTGCATTGAGATACTGGGTATTGTAGATGGAGTAATGTTACCAAACTATTGGATAAGCAGGGAGATTCTTTACGAGTCCAGTAACGATTTGATGAAATATATTCCAAAAGGTGTAACTTAGAAATGAGAGATTTAAAATACTGGTCAATCGTCCGTACTAATTATTCGACTCATTGTGTGGAAACAACGCTAAATACTTGTTTGCATAACTTAATTCGTTTTTTTTCCTTAGATTAGCTTAGATTTCTGTGGTATGGACATATCATTTGTTTATAATCAGATTATTTTATTAACGGTAACATACACACGGTTTTCTTATTCGTGCACTCTATCGCGCAATATCTTTCAAATGATAATGACTTTCATTTTCATTTACTATAATTTCACTTTCGTTGATCGTGTAGTTGCGGCGATACAGAATCAACTATACCCATATCATCTTGTGGGTGACGTAAGAGTCGACAATGCGAAACTAAAACAGCAATATCTTCCTGATAACAATCGTGAGTAGTTAGTTAGTAACAGTTCTGGCGCACTGAGTCAGAAGTGGTACAACGTTCGTCGACTCACGATCCTAAAAAAAATAGGATGCACGGTTCCGGAGATGTGCATATCAATTAACTCTTATCTAATTGATATCCGGTGATGGCCTCCACCGTCATTAGCACTCCATTGTTCTTATCTATTTATCTATTGTTCATTGAATACCGTCATTATCTATTCTTCCTCAGCATGTGCGTCGGATTATCAGTGCTATTGTATTATACTCCTTTGTTCCTATCTACAACGCTAATCTGAATCATCAATAAAATACATTACGTAATTTTGTTAAAATGTTTATTACAATACAAAATCTTATTACTTATTATCTATAAAATAGGAGCGAAACATCTCATCCACTAAAATATCGTTGTACAATGTGTTCCCTGTAAATATACTCGTAAAACTATGCATTGAACATCCCTGAAACTTATATAGCAAATACATTAAGCAATATTCGCCACAAACTGAAGTCCACTCATTCTGAATCCTATCAACATTCCAGTTCCATCTTTTACAATTCCTTTTTAAAAACTCTAGATGATATCGTACAGGTGCTCGTCCGTATGAATCAAAATATTGACCGACGTCATTCGTATCGACATATAAAGCTACCCAATGTGATCCTGGTTTATCATCTGTATCCAAATTGCATATTATATACGTTGGTACGTGGGTGTACATGGGCAGTCTATTAGCAGCATAAACATTATTGTCTAGACTGGGGTGAATCTTTTTCAGATGTTGTTGTACATCTAGTGTATCCATGATATTACTGCTATTAGTAGATTATTACAGTACAATCTACTCAATGACTAACATAGGAATGATCAATTATAGTGATTTCTAAATATTAAATTGCATTATTTTGTGACGTAAGTCATCAATACACTGAACACGACGCAACACGAAGTAATGTTGAGATAATCAACAGAATGTGAGATAAGCTTGTTGACGCATAAAGTTACTATCAATTCCACTGCAGAAATTCTTTAGATTAGAATTATTACTTACTGGTACTACATAAGACCAAGCAAATGCAGTCATGGAGTTAGTGTATGGTCGTTTGACCGCAGTGGATCTATCAATACTACATTTGTGTTACTTCAACGCATCTAAGGCCATGGATGTAAGTGTTTATTCTATTGACAAACTTACTTTTCTTTCTGTTATTTTCTTACGTGAGTATGATTTAGTGTTAACAAATTATACTTAAATATTGTGTGTGTATATGATTAAACCGTGGTAGCTCAGATAGTTAGCGCAAGCTGTAAATTTCACAGTACGCGACCCGGGTTCGATCCCCGCCGGCACCAGTTAAATTGTTAATTTCAATTTTAAGTTTTTATTCTATTGACAAACTTACTTTTCTTTCTGTTATTTTCTTACGTGTGTATGATTTAGTGTTAACAAATTATATTTAAATATTGTGTGTGTACCGCGGATACCTACGAATACTAGAGTAGTTAAAAAATACTTTTTTAACAATGACAGTCATTAGTTGATCATTAGTGAATATGATTCCGTTTACTCAAATTACAGGAAGACAAGAGCAGAAGGAAAAAATGGGATGATGGGAAGTAATGAAGCATTGTTATATGAAGTTTGTTGGATCAAAAATATTTTTAGTCACGTGTAAATACTTTTAACATTTTGGTTCAAAATGACACAAACTCTAAAAAATATTAGATACATCATCGACATGGACGGATTTTACATTACATATACTCATAAACATTTTCAACTATCTAATAAAAGTAAAACTATCAGTAAAGTATCAGTAAAACTATCTAATAAAAATGATGCGTTTATCGATCATTATTTGTTTCGGCCAAGTTATCCTTTCAATTATTTGTCGCCAAAAGACAAAAAAAAACTGTTCGTTATTGTGAAACACGTGCACGGCATTCCATATTTTGATGTGACCGAAGAACTAACTAACTACTAACGTGGTAGAGCCACGCTGCAGCTATTATTATGGTTGTAGCACGAATGGGTGGCTCGACGGGGGGAAGGACCACGCTCTTACAGAATACCAGCGTAAAATAGTAGCTTAATGCTGCTGTGTTTCGTATGGTGAGTGTAGAGATACGGAGACCCTTTTTTTACCGGAAACGAAGCATTCCATTTTAGTCCTCAGGGGTGACAACGTATCTATCTGCGTTTTGATTCTTAATCAAGGATAAATGTAGATATGTCTATGGGCCACAGAATCCACTTACAATCAGGTGGACTGTGTGCTCGTTTGTCACCCTTATTCTATAAAAAAATCACAATAAGGTAACTGCGGTTACCTGCCTGCCATTCTACGGAGGAAACCTATGTTCAGCAATGGAATTTGATGGCTTCAATGAATAAATGTAATAGTTTAATTCCCCTTTCTTCTATACAAAAAAAGGTACCTACTTAATTTTTTAGATGTTTATGCATTAAAATAATGGTATATAAGGTTACTTTGGTTGTTAGCTTGTTAATAAAGGCGTGGCAACTTTTTATATATGCATATAAACAGTTTCATAATAAGAATTTTACAAATAATATACATACATCTCATAATTAAATAATTGTGAAACCAACACCGTTAACCGCAAATTATTACATAAAAAATTTGCGTGTATTTGCTAAAAGTTAGTACTTTTTTAAGTAAGTTCGCTACGGATTTTATTTAATCAAATGTGAATTATTGCGTGGTGTTGACTTCACGCAACAGACTAAAAACTGATTTTCTCAAGGAAATAACATTCGTTGCAAATATATCCAGGGTAGTGAAGTAGCTGCTATAAGCTTTATTCGAGTGAATGGCGAACGTTTCCCAGCATTCGTACGAGACCTAGGTGCAGCAAATAGTTTATACGTACGGCATGCTTCGAGTGTGTGATCTGACTGGTACTTTATAACGTAACTTATCCACTATGCAGATACCCTAAATGAATTCCTGACTTTTAAAAAGCTATACCTAATGATGATTATGATGATAGCGATATAAGGTTCCAAATGATACGAATCTTTTTCTACCTTGCAGTGCAAAAGTGCAGTGATTGCATTGCCGTGTTTCAGACGCAAGGGCATTGAATCAGTATAATTAGTCTGTGATTCTTCACGGGTGTGATCGTATCTGTATACTTTATTTGTTTGAAGTTGGCTACAGGTTATGGAGTGTAGAAGTAAGGGAAGAATCGCGAACAAAAAACTTTTGAGTACAGACTGTGTACAGTCAAACCTGGGTAAGTGAGAATCGGATAAGTGAGAAAACTCTATAAGTGAGAGTAATAGCCAGGACCCGTCATTTTAAGCTCCCAAAAGCTCTATTAGCGAGAAACAGAAACCTCTGTAAGAGAGAGTCGTTTTTCCCTCATGGACCTCCGTAAGTGAGACTGCTACTTATCTATACCTCTATAAGCGACAGTCGAGCTTTATTTATTTATATTATTTAGGAGGAACTATAGCTAC